GAAACACAGTGTATGAATGAAATTGGAAATAAAAATTCTCAGCGGCGGTAAAAAAAGACAAAAACAATTACACAAACAGGTAAAAAAGTAAAGAAAAAATGTCCCATATTTTAGAAATGGTATAAAATGACAATTCCTGTTGTGAATGAATAGTCCGTAAATATGCTATAGTTGCTTGGCTTAGTTGTTATTAATACTGTTTTCCAAAATACTTCACTGACTTTTTTACCTGTTTGTGTAACTTTCTTTGTCTTTTTTTCCCCTAGATTCGAAGATTCTGTGTATGCGATACCTGCACACTAACGCCCCATCATTTAAATATGGACATTTCATAATTATTATAATTTTATGACCTATCAAAAATTATTTCTCATTGTGAATTTGTTCACGAAGGGTGTACAGTATTTATATATTATTAATTTTATTATGCTCGTGTATATGTACATATCAGTATATATTATCTTTATTTTGGAGTTGAATATCCTCGAAGTACATAAAAAATAAAGAAAGAAAAAGGGCATCACACTGAAGTACGGAATGATTTGTTTGCAACTGACTTAATCTGCCAGCTATCTGCGGGCAAGGAACCTAAATCAACCGTTCGGAAAAGTTGACTAAATTTCTGTGTAAATTAGTGTGATGACGTCAATGTTTATAACATTAAGAGGGATTCCACGCACTACCAGCTTTCGCCGTGCGAGTAAAGCAGTTACCTGTCAGGTCGATTTTCTAAATAACCTGTTTGTGACCCCCCTTCCCTTTTTCACAGAATTCTAAACACACGTTGGGTTTAGTCGAAGATGAGAAGAAGCATCTATTGATTATCTTCCAAATTCATGAAGGTATTGTCTTTTTTACCTTATCCCGAAGCTTGAATTGCGATTTATATTGAAAAGTGTCTTGTAGGAAAGTTAGGCTGCTGTAAAGATAGTAATGGCCAACAGATATTCTGCTTCCACAGGAAGTGCGGAGAGCCTGTGTCTCCGGTGTAACTCGACTGTGTATCAAGTGGACAAGATTGGACCACTTAAAGACCTTACTTTCTTCCATCAGAACTGTTTCAAGTGTTCCGCGTGTGGGACAAAGTTGTCGTTGAGGACCTATTACAACAACCAACAGGACAAGGATGATAAAGAAGTATATTGTCAGAGCCACGTACCGAGAACAGGGCCGGGACATCTGGATGGAATGTCGGTGGGAATTAAAAGTGCCTTAAAAGCCCCTAAACAAAAGTACATTATCAATGACCAGATCAGGGGCTTTGGTAAAGGGACTTTTGATGCTGAAGCTGTTGGCATAAAAACTGCTCTATCTTCACCCCGAGTTTGTGAAGTTGACGGTCGCCATAGAGACCATTCTGCCGGCACGTTTGACGCCAACGCTCTGCACATAGCTCACGGAATTAATGCTACCAAAGTACAGAAGAAATATGGGTTACAACAGTTCGAGTGTAGACTGGATGAGTATTTGGTAAGTTGATACATTGCCACTAAGCCTAATGCTTCCAAAACTACTGGCTATTGTTACTCACCACCGTTAATAGCCTAGACGATCCCTCATAGTCTAATTATTAATTACTTGCTTTCTTTTTTCTAGTAAATACCAATTACTAACTAGTTTTTATCCAACGTTTTGGCTGCTAATCAGCTGCGATCTTTCGGACACTTCTGAGAAGGACTGTTTTTTTTTTGTTTTTTTAGTGTTAGAATTTGACCGTCACAATCTTACTGTAACTACTGGTTATGGATTAAGGACCGTAGCAGAGAAGAGAGCTGAGTTTGAGCATCGTAACAGAGTAGAAGGGTAGTTTTAAGTCTTTTATAGCAGAGCAGAGGACTAAAATTCAAGCATCGTATGGCAGAGAAGAGGAATGGGTTTTAAACATCGTACAGCAGACTAGAAGGGTATATTTTAAGCATCGTATAGTAGAGTAGAGAGCTAAGTTTGAAGTATCGTATAGTAGAGTAGAGAGCTAAGTTTAAAGCATCTTATAGTAGAGGACTAAGATTTACGCATCATATAACACAGAGCAGAAGGTTAAATTTTAAGCATAGCATAGCAGAGTAGAAGACTAAGTTTTAAGTATCTTTAGCAGAGTAGAAGGGTATACTTAAGCATCATATAACAAAGTAGAAAGATAAGTTTTAAACACATTAGCCTAGAAGAAGACTAAGGGAAGTCACGAAAGGTGTAGTTTGATCCCCATGTTAGAATCTCCTGTCGTGTTAAAGAGGAGACATTTAGAATACAAGTGTATGTTCAGTTGAAATTATAGTTTGTGGCTGTTTTTGGTCAGGAAAACTAAGCACTAAGTAAGATCGGTTAATAGCTATTGGATAGTG